AATTCACTATTATTTTTCTCAGTTGGGCTTATTTTAATAAGTTCTTATTAGCAAGTTCAACATGTTGTGCCAATTAAATGAAAATATCCTCCAAAATTATTTGGAAAAAATTAGAGAAGCCTTATCCTAGCAGCTTAGGACATAATCATATGTCCCTGCTGCTTATCGTGACTGTGTCACAGGCTGGGTCTCTACAGAGCAACTGGATTTAACTGGAATCAAACTCAGGTTTCCTCTTAAATTTTAGTGTTCACTTTCAGATGATGTTCTTAAAATGGATAGTTTATTTTTAAATACCCTCATGCGTAACATTAAACCTGACAAAAGATTCTAGGACATGATTTTAAAAATACAGTTGGTACCATGTACAGCTTTTTTGTATCTGTGTAAATTCACAGTGGTTCTTGAACTGCTCCCTGTCTCCCCGAGGAGTGGGCTGTCAGGAGCCATTTGTGCATGTGACCCCACACCTTGCCTTTGAATAATTAGACCTAAGGTAGGTGCTTAATTGAAACGGGGCCAAAGTCTCTTTCTTAGGAATTTGGACTTGGTCACGCCTGTAATCCTAGCACTTTGGGAAGCCAAGGCGGGTGGATTGCCTGAGTTCAGGAGTTCGAGACCAGCCTGGGCAACACGGTGAAACCCCGTCTCTACTAAAATGCAAAAAAAATTAGCTGTGCATGGTAGCTGGCACCTGTAGTAATCCCAGCTACTCGGGAGGTTGAGACAGGAGAATCACTTGAACTCAGGAGGTGGAGGTTGCAGTAAGTCGAGATTGCGCCACCGCACTCCAGCCTGGACAACCAAGCGAGACTCCATCTCAAAAAAAAAAAGCAAGAAATTTGGACTTGGGGATGAGAGAAGGAAAGCCAGTCTTCCTCTGGGCCTAGATGGTAAATTTGGAAGCATGAGCAGCCAACTCCCGACTATTAAGGGGACTTAGGAACAGAGAAAAGCCTGTCCACCAAGAAAGAAGATGGCAAATATGAGAGGCCACGTTTCTTGGGTTTCCAATAACATTTTGCTTTCTTGACTGGTATTCTTGAATCCTACCTCTTCTCCCTGCCTTCAAGACTTACAATAAATCTCCCACTTTTGCTAGAGTGCCTTTGAATTGGTTTCTCTTCTTTAAAACCCAAAGAATCTTAACATAGAAAGTTTTATCTGGAAGTGAGTTTACAAGTTACAGTCCATTAAAGAAAATTGTTATATCAAAGCAGATGGGGTGAGAAGTGGCTAGTCCTCTAACCAAGAAACAGTATGTTTTCATGTGTGCAGTTCTTGCAGACTTTCAAGGAAGTACAGTCAGAGCAAGAAAAAGACTTCAGGCCAAGCTTGCCTCGCTGAAAGAAGACGAAGGAAAATAGAGTAAGAATACAGTTATGGGCCGGGCGCGGTGGCTCACGCCTGTAATCCCAGCACTCTGGGAGGCCGAGGTGGGCAGATCACAAGGTCAGGAGATCGAGACCATCCTGGCTAACACGGTGAAATCCCGTCTCTACTAAAATACAAAAAATTAGCTGGGCATGGTGGCGGGCGCCTGTAGTCCCAGCTACTTGGGAGGCTGAGGCAGGAGAATGGTGTGAACCCGAGAGGCGGAGTTTGTAGTAAGCTGAGATCGCGACACTGCACTCCAGCCTGGGCAACAGAGCGAGACTCCATCTCAAAAAAAAAAAAAAAGAATACAGTTATGTACCAGAAGCCTTTCTGATAACAGCCAGCCATCTAATCTTGCTCAAAGTTAATCTAAAGAGCATCTATAAGGGCCAGTCATGGTGGCCCATGCCTGTAATCCCAGCACTTTGAGAGGCCAAGGTGTGTAGATCTCCTGAGTTCAAGAGTTCAAGCCCAGACTGGGCAACATAGCGAAATCCCATCTGTACAAAAAATACAAAAGTTAGCTGGGTGTGGTGACAGGCACCTGTAGCCCCAGCTACTCGGGAGGCTGAGACATGAGAATTGCTTAAGCCTGGGAGGCAGAGGTTGTAGTGAACCGAGATTGTGCCACTACACTCCAGCCTGGGCGACAGAGCGAGAGACTCTGTCTCAAAAGAAATACATCTATAAGGACACTAACCATGCTAATTATGTATCATGCTTAGCAGCAACCAGATCCTTTATTGGAACCACTTTTGAAACTAAAATTGGGGTGTTTATTGTGAAAATGTATAACATTTATAATTAGAATGAGAATATCTGATAGAAACCAGAGGACCTAAGGACTTCAGCTTCAAAACTTCTGCTTTGATTCCCAAAACCCTGCACATGTCTGTTTCATTCCATTCATCCCATCAGATAAACACGCTGAGACCTGCCCCCTTGTAAAGCAAATCGGCTTTACAACAGCTTTGCAACTTGGGGGCACAGGTGACATTTCATGATTTATTAGAAAAAAAAAAGTGCCATCATAAGTTAAAGAAAATGATAGAGAAAATATTTTCAGTACATACGACATAGGGTTTATGGTAAAAATATATAAGGAGTTCCTACCAATCAATTTGCAAAAGATGAGTACCATAAAACAAAAATAGGCAAAACAATTTGCATTAGGAGAAATGCAAATAGCTAGTAAACGTATCTTTAGGAGTTTAACTTTCCAGAGTAATCAAACTAATGCAAATTAAAATAGGATACCGTATTTAGTCTGTCAGGTTGGAATCAATTGTTAAACATCCAATATTAATCAGAGAGTAGGCAAAAGGAACACTAGCAAATACTGCAGCTAGGGGTGCAAATTGGTAGAACGGCATAGAGAACATTTAATAATACACAGCAAAAACCTAAGAAAATGTTCTACTCTTGGGAATTATTTTGCTTTTAGAAATTTCTGCTAGCCAAAAAGCTGAGATAAATTAAAAAGTTTTCTAAAAAGGCCAGGCATGGTGGCTCACACCTGTGATCCCAGCACTTTGGGAGGCTGAAGTGGGTCGATTACTTGAGGCCAGGGGTTCAAGACCAGCCTGGCCAACATAGTGAAACCCCATCTCTACTAAATTAAAAATTATGAAAAAAGTTTTTTTTAATTCTAAAGAAATAGAAATACACCCAAAGTTCTACACACAAGGATATATGGGGGGAAACCGAAAACACTCTGGATTTCCAAATGATTAAATAACTGTTGGCATGGATATATGATGGAATTCATGTAGCTATTAAAAACTGTTTTCCAAGAAAATTTAATAACTTTTAAAAATACTTATGCTGTAATATTTGTGGAAAAGATCAAACTACAGTACTTCATATAAACATGACTGCACTTTGATAAATAAAATAGATCTATATGTAATTATATATATGTGTGTAAATATGTATTCACAGGAAAAAGCCTGAAAATGTATGCTTTAGATTATGAGTAGTTGTTACTTCTGCTTACTGAAATTACAGCAATTTTCTTTTCTTTCTTTTTTATTTTTCAAATTTCCTATAATACATATGATCTTTATCAGAATAACTTATATATCCAAAGAAATTCATGCAAAAATATACGTATTGTAATAGTTAACGTTATATTTCTATATCTCAATTTATGATTGAGAGCAAGTATGTTCACAAGGAAATCCCCCTCTTTCCTGGAATATCACTCTGTGCTTCCTTCTTGGCCATAACACAATCCTTATCCAACATGTGCAGTTTCTCCAAGTTAATTGCATGAGACTCATAAAATTGGGGATTTTTAAATACATTTCAACAATGTCAGGAATCTGGTTGCTTAGTATTTCAGTACAAAACATTTCCAGAACTCTCACTTCTAGCTGAAAAAAAAAAAAAAAAAACACTGAAGCAGATGAAGTTCTGCAAATGCTGTTTTTGCTTAACTTTAATCCTGTTAAAGAGACTCTTCTGCCCCACCCCCCGTTTTATAAACACCCTACTTCTCTACCCCTCATCTCCTGTGTAGAGCTGATCATTGGACAATAGGCAAACGTGTGTAGTGGTCAAGCTTAACAGCAGGTAAAGAGACCAAGAGCATCACAGGGAATTCAGCCTGAGAGAAAACAGCCTGGGCTAGTGACCCGTATTATACTCTAGTTTGCCTTTACCTGGCATTTGTATGGAAGATGGTGCTTGATGTCTTGTCCAAGTGATACAAATATGCTACCAGAAGACCCCACATGTGAGAATTTGAGGTATCATCAAAGACTAGGTAAGGAGGTACATCGGGTGCAATGGTACCTCTCACATTGATCATCTGAGTTAGGTGAAGTTTCGTAATCAAGTGATAGAAAAAGCCACATTGTAATTACAGTGAAATCTCTACCCTCCCTCACTCTGTGGCCATGGGCAAGTTGCGTAGCCACCATGACTGTCAATTCCACCAACTATAAAAGGAAGGAGTTGAATTACATCAGGCTCTCTTTTTTTTGTAGATGGAGTCTCACTCTGTCGTCCAGGTTGGAGTGCAATGGTGTGATCTTGGCTCAATGCAACCTCCGCCTCCCGGGTTCAAGCAATTCTCCTGCCTCAGCCTCCCGCGTAGCTGGGACTACAGGCACTCACCACCATGCCCGGCTAATTTTTGTATTTTTAGCACAGATGATGTTTCACCATGCTGGCCAGGCTGGTCTCAAACTCCTGACCTCAAGTGCCTTGATCTCCCAAAGTGCTGGGATTACAGATGCACATCGGATTCTTAATTTGCAGTCTGACGATGGGCATCAGAAGGTCCATGAACAGGTAAAATTATCAGAAAATAATATGCATTTTTCTAGGAAAAAGATTCATAGCTTATATCAGATTCTCAATTCATGAACCCAAGAGAGACTATGACCCACTGAATTACAGAACCTTCAAATTCTATTCGAGATCAACATTCCAGGATTCTCCACTGATGCATATTTTGGGTAGAACTTTTACTTGATTAGAAAACTTTATTTTATTGTATCTCAGCTTTCTGGATAACAAAATCTTTTTAAATAAAATAAATAAATAAGTAGAAAGCTTTATTTTATACCATGTTTAGGTTTACTCAGACTTCAAATAGATGAGGCCAGACTCCAGGGTGAAGTGAAAATTGTATTTCCTCTCTCATCTATAAGGAATTTTGCTACAAAAAGGGTTTGAAAATGTATGGGTACACAAGAGCTACAAAATACAGAAAATGTATTAAAAGAGTTAAACATCTGTTGTATTTCATGTCAGTGAAGGATATTTTGCAATTGTGGGAAATTAGACACAGTTTGCTGCTTTTGTTCATCCAATTAAAATATTCTAAATTTAATGTGCGTTAAGGATAGTTATACACAGTGTTACCAGTTCTTGCAGACTTTCAAGGAAGTACAGTAAGAGCCAGAAAGAGAGAGACTTCAGGCCAAGCTTGCCTCGCTGAAAGAAGATGAAGGAAAATAGAGTAAGAATACAGTTATATACCAGAAGCCTTTCTGATCACAGCCAGCTATCTAATCTTGCTCAAAGTTAATCTAAAAAGCATCTATAAGGGCCAGTCGCGGTGGCCAATGCCTGTAATCCCAGCACTTTGAGAGGCCAAGGTGTGTGGATCACCTGAGTTCAAGAGTTCAAGCCCAGACTGGGCAACATGGCGAAATCCCATCTGTACAAAAAATACAAAAGTTATATGATCCTGATGCCGACCTTGGCATAGTATTTTTGAAACAGAGTCTCACTCTGTTGCCCAGGCTGGAGTGCAGTGGCTCCATCAAAGCTCACTGTATCCTCAACCACCCCAGGCTCACATGATTTTCCTACTTCAGCCTCCTGGGTAGCTGGGACTACACATGCACACCACCATGCCTGGCTAAATTTTGTATTTTTTTGTAGAGATGGGGTTTTACCGTGTTGACCAGGCTGGTCTCGAACAATCCACCTGCCTCAGCCTCCCAAATTATTGGAATTACAATTGTGAGCCACCACACCTGGCCAGCATAGTATTTTTTTTTCTTTTTTGAGACAGAGTCTTGCACTGTCATGCAGGCTGGAGTGCAGTGGCGTGATCTCAGCTCACTGCAACCTCCGCCTCCCAGGTTCAAGCAATTCTCCTGCTTCAGCCTCCCTAGTAGTTGGGACTACAGGTGTGTGCCACCATGCCTGGCTAATTTTTTTTGTATTTTTAGTAGAGACGGGGTTTCACGATGTTGACCATGCTGGTCTCGAACTCCTGACCTCATGATCTGCCTACCTCAGCCTCCCAAAGTGCTGGGATTACAAACATGAGCCACCACGTCTGGCCTCAGCATAGTATTTTTATAGAGTAGGTTGTGCTACAGAGAAGACCCTGTCTCAAGAAAAGAATAGGTTAGGAAGATGTGGGGGAATGTTACAGAACTATAATTCCAAGATCCCTAACCCCACCAGTATGTAAATAGTATAGCTATAATGAATTCAGAATCTCCGGATTTTCATTCCCTGCTTGACATTCATCATGTAACGTATCTATTCACATCGGTCTCTCTGACATTTACCTATTCTTTCAAGAGACCACACTAAAAGCAACTAAATGATGATACAGACGTTTAACATCTTGTGACTTTAGAAGCCAGCTAGAGATGTGCTGGGAAATTCTGTATGGAAGGAGCACTCTGGGAGCGTCTTTGCCAGGGGCCACTGAAGCATGGTGCTAGATAACAACCGTTTTTTGACCAGCCTTGCTGAGCATGCAGAGCTGATCTCCCAGGTTCTGGGTGATCTGCGATGACGTCAGTGTGCAACAGAGACACCACATCCACAGAACGAAACAACAGACCGGCCCTGCAACTGTGGACCACAGTCCATTTTTATTTTAAAGTGGTTAACCTTGGATTGTTAGAGCTCTTATAAAAGTCTTACAAAAGGTGAAATTTGGTCTTTTAATCTTTACATTGCTCATCTCTTTAGCTTTTTGAAAAATATTGCTACCATGTATTTTTATGTAGTTTTGGCCCCCCCAAATTTAGTCAATTTGCAAATTAAGATGAAAATAAAACAAGTAAAAAGAATAAGACATTGCAAGGCCACGGTTCATGGATCACTTGAGGTCAGGAGCTTCAGACCCGCCTGTCCAACGTGGTGTAACCCTGTCTCGACTAAAAATACAAAAATTAGCCAGGTGTGGGGGCGCGAGCCTATAATCACAGATACTGGGGAGGCTGAGGCATGAGAATCATTTGAACTTGGGAGGCGGAGGTTGCAGTGAGCCGAGATAGCACCACTACATTCCAGCGTGGGTGGCAGAGTGAGACTCAGTCTCAAAAAAAAAAAAAAAAAACAATGAGACGATTGGATAAAAACAAAATCCAGTATATTCATGCAATGGGATATTATTCAGCCATAAAACGGAGGGAAATTCTGATATATGCTATAATGTGGGGGGATCTTGAAGATGTGATGCTAAGTGAAACAAGCCAGTCACAAAAGATCAAATATTGTCAAATATTGTATGAGTTCACTAATGCGAGATACCTAGAGGAGTCAAATTCAGAGCCAGAAAGCAGAATGTTGACTGTCGCACTGCTGAAGGAGTTAGGTGGGTGGGGGAATGGGGAGTTACTGTTTAATGCGTGCAGAGTTTCAGTTTGGGAAGATGAAGACTCTGGTGATGGATGGTGGTGATGATTGCATGACAATATGAATGAAATTAATGTCACTGAACTTTACACTTAACAATGGTTAAAATGGTAACTCTTATGTTGTGTATATTTTATCACAATTTTTAAAATCCACTGAATTGTAAAACAAACAAACAAACAAAAGGCTTGGCATGGTGGTGTACGCCTGTAATCCCTGCAGTTTGGGAAGCCGAGGCAGGGAGACAGCTTGAGGTCAGGAGTTCGACACCAGCCTGCCCGACATGGTGAAACTCCATCTCTACTAAAAATACAAAAATTAGCTGGGTGTGGTAGCACGTGCCTGTAGTCCCATCGACTAGGGAGGGTGAAGCACGAGAATTGTTCGAACCAGGAGTCAGAGGTTGCAGTGAGTTGAGATCTCGCCACTGCACTCCTGGGCAATAGAGTGAGACTCTGACTCACAAGAAAATAAAAGGAACATAAATAAATAAATTGTGAGATAGTGAAGGAAATTTGAATACTAACTAGATGTGCAATGATATAGAGGAATTATTATTAATTTTGATCTCTTTTAAAGACTCTCTTTTAGAGCTACTTAGTGAAATCTTTACGGATGAAATAATGCCGTCATTTGCTTGAGAAAAATCTGGTGAGGGCTAACAAAGAGAGTAGAGATGAAACAGTGTCGACCATGAGTCAGTTAAATTTAAAAAGAGAGGGGAAAAAAAGCACGCCTATAAACACATATTGCTGTTAACCTTACATAAATAAAACCAGAAGCTATGATTTTTAACCAAAATGTGTTACCTATTGGAATCTAAACTTTAGTTTGTTTGCCCAAACTAAGAGTGAATGTGTGCATGTATTCTCTAAACTGTATACTCCTTGAGAACCAAGTTTGTTGTTTTATCTTAAAAAAAAGTCCAGAAAATAAAGGGCACTAATAAATATTTGATGAAGAAACAATGGACTCTATCTATTTTTGGAATTCCTATGCTGCCCTGTACACCATCATTGTTTACTTGGAAAAGAAGTCTGCCTATATTACTCTCACTCTTAGGACACACAGGTTGATATTCACTTAACGCAAGCCCCCCACTCACGCCATCCCAGCTGCCAAGCCTTGGTATTGTACCTTATAGGCCCCACACATTCTATTTATGACCCCCTTTGTTTGGAAAGCTCTCTTAAGATGTTTGCAAGAACCTCCTCTCCCTGCTTTTTCTTGTAACCTTCCCTAGAGTCCTGCTCTAGCCACCCCAGTATGGATTGCATCTGTGTCCCCACCCAAATCTCATGTTCAATTGTAACTGACCACGTTCAAGGTGGGGCTTGGTGGGAGGTGATTAGACCATGGAGGTGGATTTCCCCCTTGGTGCTCTTCTTGTGATAGTGAGTGAGTTCTCGTGAGATCTGGCTGTTTAAAGATTGTATAGCACCTCGCTCTCTTGTTCCCACTATGGCCATGTAAGAGGTAGGTGCCTGCTTCCTCTTCCCCTTCCACCATGATTGTTTCCTGAGGTCTCCCCAGAAGCTGAGCAGATGCCAGAATCATGTTTCCTGTACAACCTGGGGAATGAGTCAACTAAACTTCTTTTCTTTGTAAATTACCCGTCTCAAGTATTTCTTTATAGCAATGCGAGAACCAGCTAATACGGAAAATTGGTACCAGGGATCAATAGGATCCCTACTCTTACTTTGTCTACCTCTCTATTTCTTTACCCATCTTCTATCTCCTCTCTCCATGCACTTACCACTGCCTGGTATGTTTGTTTGTTGTCTTCTTCCCCTATAAGACTATAACCTCGTGAGGAAGGAAATTTGACTGTTTTATTCACCACTGACTTTTAACCTAGGCCGTGGCATATGGTAGGTCACAAATGAATATTTGTTGCGTCAATGAATAAAGTGTTAAAAAGGCACTAACATTAAAGAGATTCTAACTTCTAGCTAGAACAATGAACTTCACTCATATCTTTAGCAACCTCCTCCTTGGGAACTTTCATGGAATTTAATTACTTGTACTTTTCATCTTCAAAGTGCATGTAAATGATTAATTATTTTACTCCATGACACAGACGCTAATGCTGCATTTTATAGTTGGGAAAACTAAAGCATAGACGAACTAAATCCCTAAAGATCAATGAGTGAGTCAATGTCAGAGCCAGATGAATAGGAGAATTTGGGATATTTAATTCTGAGCAACTGATTCCCCAAAGTCATTTAGCTATATTTTGTGCTTGTTACAACTCATTTAAAAGCATTTACAATTCCCCAATTTAAAAGCCTTTCAAGTGAGGAATTGGTTTGTTGTGACAGCAGGTGATTCAGTTGCTGTAAACCCTCATTCAGGAACTCATTCCTCAATCTGGATACAGTAATTCACAAAGCAAGCTAATGCTCTCCTACTAATCTCTCTGCCTCCAGTCCTTTGTTTTGCCAGGCATCCTTTGGAAAGACAAGAATGTCTTTCTAAATCCCAAATCAGGCCAGGCAGGGTGACTCATGCCTATAATTCTAGCACTCTGGGAGGCCGAAGTGGGTGGGTCAATCCAGGCCAGAAGTTTGGGACCAGCCTGGGCAACATGGTGAAACCTCATCTCTACTAATAATACAAAAAAAAAAAAAAACACAGCTGGGTGTGGCGGCATGCACCTGTGATCCCAGCTACTCAGGAGGCTGAGGCGGGAGGATTGTTTGGCCCGGGAGGCAGAAATTATAGTGAATCAAGATAGGACCACTATACTCCAGGTTGGGTGACAGAGCAAGACCCTGTCTCAAAAAAATAAATAAATAAAAATAAAAAATTCCCAATCTGACTGTGCTACACTCTAAACACATGTGTGTAAAAGTTGTCTGACTGTGCCACACTCTAAACACATGTGTGTAAAAGTTGCATAAAGGGTTAACAGAAGCAGAGTTCTTCCTTTAGAAGGTAAAATGTGTCAAGAAAATTGACTCCGTAGAAATGAAATGAATAGGCCGGGCGTGGTGGCTCAAGCCTGTAATCCTAGTACTTTGGGAGGCCGAGACGGGCGGATCACGAGGTCAGGAGATCGAGACCATCCTGGCTAACACGGTGAAACCCCGTCTCTACTAAAAAATACAAAAAACTAGCCGGGTGAGGCGGCGGGCGCCTGTAGTCCCAGCTACTCGGGAGGCTGAGGCAGGAGAATAGCCTGAACCCGGGAGGCGGAGCTTGCAGTGAGCTGAGATCCGGCCACTGCGCTCCAGCCTGGGGGACAGAGCAAGACTCCGTCTCAAAAAAAAAAAAAAAAAAGAAATGAAATGAATAAATGCTGAGTGAGAGCTCAGTAAATATCTAGGACTATGAATAACTACATCCAAGGCATTATTATGTCTGTCTGTATAAAATATGTTGAATTTGCTTGTAAAATTCAGGTACTCTAATAGATTCGTTTTTCTGCTACTGGAAATACTAAGGAATGATAATAGGTCAAAATTTGCATTTGCTTCCTATCATGTAGAAACTTTAGCAAAATAAATAGCATCACAAAATTAACATTTTATTGAATTCATTTGAAAGAGCTATAGTCACCTCACTAATCTCACTGAATTAAATTATCTTGTTACTTATTTATACAAGGAAAAAAGAGCAAGTAAACTTAAGTGAATAAAATGTGAATTTTTAAAAATAGTAAGTTGCAGCTGGGTGCGGTGGCTCATGCCTGTAATCCCAGCACTTTGGGAGGCCGAGGCGGAGGGATTACCAGAGGTCAGGAGTTCGAGACCAGATTGTCCAACATGGTGAAACCCTGTCTCTACTGAAAATACAAAAATTAGCTGGGCGTAGTGGCACACACCTGTAATCCCAGCTACTTAGGAGATTGAGGCAGGAGAATTGCTTGACCCTGGGAGATGGAGGTTACAGGGAGCCCAGATCATGCCACTGCACTCCACCCTGGCCGACAGAGCGAGACTCTGTCTCAAAAAAAAAAAAGTAAGTAACTGTTTTAGCAGAAATATATGGTCTGTAAATAATTTAGCAGTTAGTAGTTTCATTAATGTTCATTCCTCATTTTGTTTTAAAATGGATGTGCCACCCTGCATCTATTGCAAATGTGGGGGAAACCCTTTGTGTCGTGTCTGCAAGAGAGATTCTCAAAGTCTAATTTAATTTTTAATTATTCAAATGTTCCTAGAAAGTATGACCCCAGAATTCTGTATGCAATCTCATTTTTTCATTAGGAATTCCCTTTTAAAATGCAGACATCTCAAAAAAAAAAAACAAAAAAAAAAGGTGGGGGGTGGGAACTGGGCACCATGGCTGATACCTGTAATCCCAACACTCTGGACGGCCTAGGTGGGCCGATCACTGGAGGTCAGGAGTTCGAGACCAGCCTGGTCAACCTGGCAAAACCCTGTCTGTACTAAAAACACAAAAATTAGCCGGGTGTGGTGATGCTTTCCTGTAATCCCAGCTACTCAGGAGGCAGAGGCAGGAGAATAGCTTGAACCCAGGAGGTGGGGTCTGCAGTGAGCCAAGATCATGCCACTACACTCCAGCCTGGGTGACGGGGTGAGACTCTGTATAAAAAAATAGTAATAGTAATAATAATCATAATCATAATACGAGGACAGTGGTTCTCAACTATGGCTGCACTTTGGAATCACCTGGAAACTTTATAAATAGTGATTCCTGGATTCCACCCGCTAAGATGTGAGTTTATTTGATCTGAGGAGTGGCCTGGGCATTGTAATTTTTTAAAGCAGCATCCGAAATGCAACCAAGATGGAGACCCTTGAAGAAGAGGCTCAGTCCATGGAAGTCCCTACACAAGACCTGAGAATGGAATCTAAGAAGGACCCAAAGCCAGAGAACCCTGAATATAATGGTTTCTAGATTTCTCTTAATTCTAGGTGTTGTAAACAATTTTCAAGAACGCCATTAGTAATATCTTACTGTATTCTTCACTGCTGGGGCTATTTCTCAAAAGGATCTAGTTTTCAGAATCTAGGATTTAAGTTAAATTGGGCTAAGATGAAAAGGATGTCAAAATAATGAAAACTTTTATATTAGGCCGGGCACAGTGGCTCATGCCTATGATCCCAGCAGTTTGGGAGGCTGAGACATGAGGATCACTTGAGCCCAGGAGTTTGAGGCCAGCCTGGACAACATAGCAAGATGCCATAGTTCAACCTTTGCATCTTGCTGGGTGCTTCCAGAACCCTGATCGCCTGAATCCCTTCCTTGACTGGCAGTGGATGTTGGGTCCTTGTCACTTGATTACTTAAGCTCCTTTAAAGTGTTGCTTTCCCCATCCTTGCTCCAGGGTGTTGGGCTTACATTCAGTATAAGTTCTCAGAAGCAAGGAGGCTGGTGTCATCATTCAGCACCCCTATTCAAACACTCCCTCAGTAATTCCTCCTGTTTCGTCTGGCTCATTGGGTGTTGCCCATAAAAACAGTTTGGCTTTTGTAATCACAATTAGAGCAGGCAGCATGACTAATCAGTCAGTTCACTGCATCTCTTGTTATCTCCTGTGAAGTGAGTCAGTTTCAACTTTGGCTTTGTGCTCATGTGTCACTCCCTGCTCTCTGATGTTCAAGTCTATGTTGGTTCCAGACTCTGTTTTATTTAACCTGTTTGTTTTCTTTCTAAAAACATATTCTGTATTCCCTTCCAAGCATGGAGCTAACTTCACAGGAATTTGGGAAAATTCTGATAATTCCAGCCCATACACAGAATGCCCAGGACAAGAAAGACGCTGTTCTCTGAGGAATTGTATCAAGAACACAAGTTGTTTAAGTCAGCATGCACGTGTTGAAAGTTTACAATGTGCCAGGTACTTTCATATATTATTCTATTAAAAATAAGCAGTATATGGCCAGGTGCAGTGGCTCACACCTGTAATCCCAGCACTTTGGGAGGCCGAGGTGGGCGAATCACAGGAGATCTGGAGTTCGAGACCAGCCTGGCCAACATGGCGAAACCCCATCTCTACTAAAAATACAAAAATTGACTGGGCGTGATGGCAGGCACCTGTAGTTCCAGCTACTCAGGAGGCTGAGGCAGGAGAATCGCTTGAACCCGGGAGGTGGAGGCTGCGGTGAGCTGAGATCATGCCACTGCACTCCAGCCTGGGCAACAGAGCAAGACTTCGTCTAAAAAAAAAAAAAAGCACTATATGCAGTATATGTTACTGCAGTTTTAGGTTTACAGAAAAATTGGGAAGACAGTACAGAGTTTCCATATATGCCACACTCAAGTTCCCCATTATTAACCTCCTACATTAGTATATTTGTTACAATTAATGCAATGCTATATGAATATTGATATGTTATGATTAACTAACATCTACACTTCATTTTTATTGCCTTATTTTTTACCTGTTGTCCTTTTTCTGTTCTGGAATCCATCCCAGACACAACATGACATTCTTGTCATCCATATCCTTAGGTTCTTCTTGGCTGTGACAGATTCTCAGAATTACTTTCTTTTTCGTAAGCTGGACAGTTGTGAGGAATATTGGACAGGTATTTTGTAGCATGTCGCTCATTGACATTTGTCTAATGTGTTTCCCATTAGACTGGAGTTAAGTGTTGGTGGGAGCAAGACCACAGAGGCCGAATGCCATTTTCATCACATCCTGCCAAGGGTACAGACTATCAACATGGCTTATAACTGCTGCTGTTACCTTGATCACCCGGCTGAGATAGCGTTAGTCAGGTTTCTCCGCTGTAAAGTGACCTCCTCCCCCGCCAACCCTTCTGTTCTGTGCTCTTTGGAAGGAAGTTGCTACGTATGGCCCACACTTAAGGAGGTGGGACTTACAGCCCTTCTCTTTAAGACAGAGGATTTACATAAATTATTGGAAGATCTTATTTAGTCATTTATTTATATCAACGTGGACTCAAGGATTTTTTTTAATGCTTTGAGTTATAATTTAATTCCCTTCCCTTTCCTTCCTTCCTTGCTCTCCCTCTCTCTCTCTCTCTCTCTCTCTCTCTTTCTTTCTCTTGTTTTCTTGCTTTATTTTCCAGCTTTGGCCATGCTGTAAGCTCTTTCAGTTGACTTCCCTGTACCTATGACATACTCCTTTGTGCATGTGTGTGTGTGTGTGTGTGTTTGAGCACTTCCTTAATTTCTGGCTCTATAGGATATTTCAGACATCTTGTATATTTTCTCCTCCACTCATAGAATCAGCCATTTCTCCAAGAAGCCCTGGTTCCTTTTATTGCAAAATGGTACTAAATAGCAAGATCTAGGTGGTAGATATTGTTGTTGCTGTGGGGAAGTCTTTGCTTCTCAGCTGAAAGAGAAAGGAAATATATGTGCATATACTAACCCATGTATTTACATATATCCATAAACATTTCTGTGTGTGACCATTTATAACTATATCAAGCTAAATATGCATTCATAGGGATGTCTCTATTCCATTACCTCATTACCTCATGGATCATTCTAGCCTCTTTCCCTTCTACCAACAGTGAGAAGTCTGACTCTGACCATCAATCATCATTTACTTAAGACCTCCTGGCCTCAAGTGATCTGCCCAACTCAGCCTCCCAAAGTGCTGGGATTACAGGCATGAACCACTATGCCTGACCTGAATTTTAGCTCAGTTTCTATGAAAGGGTTGGTTTTGTCTTCTTGGTACTTTTGACACAAAGCTTATTTCCTTCCTTTGCCACTTCCTTTGCTGCTTTATCACCTCCATCTTTTTTCAGCCTCCACAGCTGCCAGCCATCACTAACATAAGTAAGGGGAGAAGCCTTAGCAACTTCATTAGACTTTATGAGGTGGGAGGGCACAGCTGGGTAGCCAGGTGGTGAGGGAGGGAGGGAGGGAGGGAGGGATGGATGGATGGTGGATAGATGGACAAAAATGTATCAGTAAATAGGTGCTGACTCATCCAAGATATTAATACAGCAAGGGGAAAGAAACATGGATGATGGGACAGGATTTACAGGTGACCATTAGTCAACTGTAATTTATATCAGTTGGGATATAGATTACACACCTCTGACTAGTCTGTGCCTTTTCATTGAGCTATGAACAAATCAATCATCAGCATGATATTGTCATCCAGTAACAGTTGGCAATTTAAAAACAAACCCATGTCCACTTTCCAAATCTGACCTGATGTCTGCACAATAGTGGCTGCGTGTCATTATAGATTTGTCAAAACTCATAGATTGGGCTGAGTGCAGTGGCTTACATCCGTAAACCCAGCACTTTGGAAGGCCGAGGCAGGCAGATTGCTTGAGTCCAGGAGTTCAAGACCAGCCTGGGTAATATGGTGAAATTCCATCTCTACTACTAATAAAAAACAAAACAAAAACCCATACGTTGTGCAATATCAAGAGTAAATTGTAGTCATAATGACATCTCAATGTAAGTTCATTGATTGTGATAAATGTAGTATTGTTGTGGTGTTGGATGTTGATAGCAGGGAAGGCTATGGCATGTGTGGGGAAAAGGGGTACATGGGAACTCTCTGCACTTTCCACTCAATTTTGCTATGAACCTAAAACTGCCCTAAAAAATAACTTTCATTAACATCTAGGCTGGGTGTGATGGCTCACACCTGTAATCCCAGTACTTTGGGAGGCCAAGATGGGCAGATCACCTGAGGTCATGAGTTCAAGACCAGCCAGGCCAACACGGTAAAACCCCATCTCTACAAAAAATACAAAAATTAGCCAGGCGTGGTGGCACACGCCTCTAATCCCAGCTACTCGAGAGGCTGAGGCAGGAGAATTGCTTGAACCCAGGAGGTGGAGGTTGCAGTGAGCCGTGATCACGTCACCGCACTTCAGCCTGGACAACAGAATGAGACTTGATCGCAAAATAATAATAATAATAATAATAAAGCTAAAGATTTCCCTAAAATATGAGCTGATCAAGAGTTTAAGATTCTTGAAAGAAGAAAATGGCATGGTGAAAGGAAAGGGGATTTTGCAAACTCATTTATCTGAATTTGGATCCTAGCTCTGCCACTTAATAGCTATGTGACCGTGGGCAAATTAATTGCTGTTATTTATATTAAATTGATATTAAAATGTTAAAGTATTAAATATAACTTATTAAAATCATACATAAATGACATTCTCTATTAATATTTAAAATGATATATGACAAAACTCATACAATGTGAGAGCACCAAGAGTAAACCTGAATGAACACACATTTACAAATCATTCATGAGGTCAAAAGATCCCAGGACGGAATGTGGACTGCAGTAAAACGATCTAACTGTATTACAAAAGTATGAAACCACCTCACTGAAGAGGTGGAGGGAAGAGATGTTAACCTAAGTAACTCTGGAAATGAGCGGAGTCTGACAGACTAAAGCAAAAGAAATGGTCCATAAACACTGCTGTAGTCAGAAGTGGAATATGAGACTTCCACCAAGTATCTGTAAAGGAGGGGCACCTTTCTCCTCATCTCTCTCCTTTCCTACTGGGTAGAAGGAGAACTCATATGACTTGGCTCTGTGTGCCCACCCAAATCTCATCTTGAATTGTAATCCCCACATGTCAAGGTAGGGACCTGGTGGCAGGTGATTGGATCATGGTGGTGGTTTCCCCCATGCTGTTCTCATGATAGTGAGTTCTAACAAGATCTGATGGTTTTATAAGTGTTGGGCAGTTACTCCCTCACTCTCTCTCTTTCCTGCCACCTTGTGGAGAAGGTATTTGCTTCTCCTTCACCTTCTGCTATGATTGTAAGTTTCTTGAGGCCTCCCCAGCCATGGAGAACAGTGAGCTAATTAAACTTCTTTCCTTTATAAATTACCCAGTCTCAGGTATTTCTTCTTCTTTTTATTTTTCTTTCTTTTTTTTTCTTTTGATTGCTCTGTTCCCTAGGCTGGAGTGCAATGGCAAAATCTCGGCTCACTACAACCTCCACCTCCTGGGTTCAAGCAATTCTCCTGCCTCAGCCTCCTGAGTGGCTGGGATTACAGGCATGCGCCACCACGCCCCACTAATTTTTGTATTTTTAGTAGAGGAGGGGTTTTGCCATGTTGGCCAGGCTGGTCTCGAACTCCTGACCTCAGGTGATCTGCCCGCCTCAGCCTCCCACAGTGCTGGGATTACAGACGTGAGCCACCGTGCCCAGCCAGGTGTTTCTTTATAGCAGTCAGAAAACTGACTAATACAAGGACAGGTGTCTGACATGGAAGGAGGATCCATCTTGGACTACATGGAGTGAAACGCAAGGGCTGAAGACGATGGAACAAGAAGATGGAAGACGCCTATCTTCTTCTCATGATGGTGGTGCCATTATGCCAGCTGAATCTATGTGGAACAAAAAGTAAACTTCTCCCTTGTTTAACCCACTCTGATTTGCGGTTTTCTGTCACTCACAGATCAATCTAATCCTAACTGATATAAATTTTAGTTACGTCTTTTTCTCCCTGCCTTTTATCTCTCTAACAACTCCTGCATCCCTTAAAAAATGAGGCTACATAACTGTTCATGATATAACTCTCCTTGTGGGATATCCTAAGGTATTCTTAAGCACCTAATTCTAGTCAATAAAGCAGGGCATGAAGCCGACTCTCCCTCGCAAAAAGATTATGCCCTTACATGGAATAATAATTGATAATAAGTAGCATAATTTTTATAAACTCATCATCTTTACAAAAGAGAATTTTTTAATGAGCTTTCAAGCAACAGTATAAATTTAGCTTTTGTTTCCTTTATATAAAAATTACACACTTACTGAATTTTGGGAGAAATGCCAAGAAGTATGACCTATTAAAATGTAAAGGAACACAAATTGCTTTGGTTTAGAAGGTGGCAAGTACGGGGTTTGAATTAGTCCGTTTTCACGCTGCTGACAAAGACATACCCGAGACTGGGAGGAAAAAGAGGTTTAATTGGACTTACAGTTCCCCATGGCTGGGGAGGCCTCAGAATCGTGGCAGAAGGCGAAAGGCACTTATTAAGTGACAGCAATTAGAGAAAATAATGAGAAAGAAAGAGTAGAAACCCCGGAAAAACCCATCAGATCTCATGAGACTTATTCACTATCACAAGAATAGCACAGGAAAGACTAGCCCCCATGATTCAATTACCTCCCCCTAGGTCCCTCCCACAACATATGGAAATTCTGGGAGATACAATTCAAGTTGAGATTTGGGTAGGGGGACAGCCAACCCATATCATTCTGCTCCTGGCCCCTCCAAAACTCATGTCCTCAAATTTAAATACCAATCATGTGTTCCCAACAGTCCCCCAAAGTCTGAATTCATTTCAGCATTAACCCAAAAGTACACAGTCCAAAGTCTCATCCAGACAAGGCAAGTCCCTTCCGCCTATGAGCCTGTAAAATCAAAAGCAAGCTAGTTACTTCCTAGATACAATTGGTATATAGGTACTGGGTAAAATACATCCATTCCAAATGGGAGAAATTGGCTAAAACAAAGGGGTTATAGAGTCCATGCAAGTCTGAAATCCAGCAGGGCAGTCAAATCTTAGGGCTCCAAAAGGATCTCCTTTGACTCCAGGTCTCACATCCAGGTCACACTGATGCAAGAGGTGGGTTCCCATGGTCTTGGGCAGCTCCACTCCTTTGGCTTTGCAGGGTACAGTCTCCCTCCCGGCTGTTTCCACGGGCTGGCATTGAGTGTCTGCAGCTTTTCCAGACACACGGTGCAAGCTGTCAGTGGACCTACCATTTGGGGTCTGAAGGACAGTGGCCCTCTTCTCACAGCTCCACTAGACAGTACCCCAATAGACTCTGTGTGGGGGCTCCCACCCCACATTTCCCTTCGGCGCTGCCCTAGCAGAGGTTCTCCATGAGGGCCCTGCCCTGCAGCAAACTTCTGCCTGGGCATCCAGATGTTTCCATACATCCTCTGAAATCTAGGTGGAGGTTCCCAAACCTCAATCCTTGACTTCTGTGCACCCACAGGCTCAACACCATGTAGAAGCTGCCAAGGCTTGGGGCTTCCACCCTCTGAAGCCACAGCCTGAGTTCTATGTTGGCCCCTTTCTGTCACTGCTGGAGCAGCTGGGACACAGGGCACCAAGTCCTTAGGCTACACACAGCAGGAGGGCCCTTAGCCTACCCGACAAAATCACTTTTTCCTTCTGGGCCTCCGGGCCTGTGATGGGAGGGGCTGCCGAGAAAGTCTCTGACATGGCCTGGAGACATTTTCCCCATGGTCTTGGGGATTAACACCAGGCTCCTTGCTACTTATGCAAATTTCTGCTGCTGGTTTGAATTTCTCCCCAGAAAATGGGGTTTTCCTTTCTATTGCATTGTCAGGCTGCAAACTTTCCAAACTTCTATGCTGTGTTTCCTTTTTAAAACCGAATGCTTTTAACGGCACCCACGTCACCTCTTGAATGCTTTGCTTCTTGGAACTTTTCTCTGCCAGATACCCTAAATCATCACTCTGAAGCTCAAAGTTCCACAAATCTCTAGGGCAGGGGCAAAATGCTGCCAGTCTCTTTGTTAAAACATAACACAAATCACCTTTACTCCAGTTCCCAACAAGTTCCTTATCTCCATCTGAGACCACCTCAGCCTGGACCTTATTGTTTATATCACTGTCAGCATTTTCGTCAAAGCCATTCTACAAATCTCTGGGAAGTTCCCAACTTTCCCACATCTTCCTGTCTTCTTCTGAGCCCTCCAAACTGTTCCATTCTCTGCCTGTTACCCAGTTCCAAAGTTGCTTCCACATTTTTGGGTATATTTTCAGCAACACCCCACTCTACTGGTACCAATTTACTGTATTAACCTGTTTTCACGTTGCTGACAAAAACATACCAGAGACTGGGAAGAAAGAGAAGTTTAATCGAACTTACAGTTAGTTCCACATGGCTGGGGAGGCCTCAGAATCACAGCGGGAGGCAAATGGCACTTCTTACATGGCAGCAGCAAGAGTGAATGAGGAAGAAGCGAAAGGGGAAACCCCTGATAAAGCCATCAAATCCGGTGAGACTTACTATCACAGAATAGCATGGGAAAGACCGTCCGCCATGATGCAATTACCTCTCCCTAGGTCCCTCCCACATCCTGGGGAATTCTGGGAGATACAATTCAAGTTAAGATTTGAGTGGGAGCACAGCCAAACCATATCAGGGTCTAAAACAATGAAAATATTGACAAAATAGTTACTTATGAATGGCATGTTGTTTATCATTTAAGCATTTTAACACATAGGCACTAATACCTCTCCATCTCTGTCTCTTCCCTGCCACCCTTCCTCGTTGATGTTATACTGGATTTAGGAATTAAGATTTCTGTTAATAGAAAGAGAAAAGGAAGATGGCAGTTAGTAGTTGCTCGGTGTCCATTTCCAAATGGTTACCTAGCAACAGTTCCAGGCGGTAGCTGCTAGGAGTAGCTCCAGCTGCTCATGGTTAAGCCGGCTTGAGCTACATAGTTGCTCTGCTAAATATCTTATTTGTGTGATTTTCAAATAAGAATCACCTTTTGGGGTTATATGGGCTGATGCTTCAGCTGGCCATCTGTTTTGTCTTGTCCCATTCCTTGACAAGATGAATGTGCTTGTTGTGTTTATAAAAGAAAAAAAAAAAAAAACCCGGCCGCATGCGGTGGCTCACACCTGTAATCCCAGCACTTCGAGAGGCCGAGGCGGGCTGACCACCTGAGATCAGGAGTTCGAGACCTGCCTGGCCAATATGATGAAACCCCGTCTCTACTAAAAATACAAAAAAATTAGCCAGGGGTGGTCACAGGCGCCTATAATCCCAGGTACTTGGGAGGCTGAGGCAGGAGAATTGCTTAAACCTGGGAGGCAGAGGTTGCAGTGAGCCAAGACCACCCCATTGCACTCCAGCCTGAGCAACAAGAGTGAAATGCCGCCTCAATAAAATAAAATAAAATAAAATAAGTTGTGAAAAAAAAAATCAGACAGTATTTGGAGCCAAAACAAAATGTCTCTCAAAGCTCCTAGGTGTCAAGTGATAGCAACTATGTAAATTCCTAAATAAATTTTTAAAATATTAATAAATAAACTATATCCCAGCTACTTGGGAGTCTGAGGCAGGAGGATTACTTGAGCCCAGGAGTTCAAGAACAACCTGGGCAACATAGTGAGAACGTGTCACAATTTTTTTAAGTCCACTTTTAAGTAAGAGTATTAATCGTTTACTTAGGCCCACAGAATGCATTTGAAGAGTTCAAGTCAGTGTTAAATAATTTTCACAAAAGTTAAATATCATTCTAAGGTCACTCTACCCCTTGCCTCTTAAGTTTTAATCTCTTTATGTTCAATTTCAGGAAACTAAGACAAGTATCCATAAAAGGAGAAACATGGGCCAGGCACGGTGGCTCACACCTGTAATCCCAGCACTTTGGGAGGCTGAGGCGGGCGGATCACAAGGTCAGGAGATCAAGACCATCCTGGCTAACCTGGTGAAACCCTGTCTCTACTAAAAATACAAAAATAATAGCTGGGTGTGGTGGCGGGCACCTGTAGTCCCAGCTACTTGGGAGGCTGAGGCAGGAGAATGGCATGAACCCAGGAGGCAGAGCTTGCAGTGAGCCGAGATCTCCCCACTGCACTCCAGCCTGGACAACAGAGTGAGATTCCGTCTCAAAAAAAAAAAAAAAAGAAGAAGAAACACAGGACGTTTTATAGTGCTCGTGGTGCTTGATTTTTATATCTTGTCATGAAGCTGTGCCTTATTTCCTTTGTGTTAAACCTCTATTCTTGTTTATACCTGTTTTCTATCTGTATTTCTAAAACATAATGAATATTTCATCTATGTAGTTTCTTTGTAAAGTCTTTTGAGCTCTAACCTCTCAAAGGGCAGTCACTCAATATGGTTTAAACACACATCACACATGCTGAGGCCGGGCCTGAGCATGGGTGGCTCATGCCTGTAATCCCAGCATGTTGGGAGGCTGAGGTGGGCAGATCACTTGAAGTCAGGAGTTCGAAACCAGCCTTCAACACGGTGAGATCCCATCTCTAATTAACATACAAAAATTAGCCGGGCATGGTGGCACACACATGTAATTTCAGCTACTCAGGAAGCTGAGGCAGGAGAATCACTTGAACCCGGGAGGAAGAGGTTGCAGTGAGCTGAGATCGTGCCACTGCACTCCAGCCTGGGCAACAGAGCGAGACTTTAAAAAAATTTTTTAAATAATAATAAATAAATAAATACATGTCACATATGCTGAATGTGTAGAAATGGGATGTCTACTAAAAATCATATTCACAAGGACTCAAACAGATATCTGTACACCAAAGTTTATAGCAGCATTATGCGTGATAGCCAAAAGGTGGAATCAACCTTATCTGTTCGTGGATGGCAAAACGTGACGTATGCACACTATGGAATATTATTCAGCCCTTAAAAGGAATAAAATTTTGACACATGCTACAATATAGATGAACCTTGAAGACATTATGCTAAGTGAAATAAGTCAGACGCGAAAGAACAAATACTGTATACTTTCACTTACGTGAGATAACCAGGGGAGTCAAATTCATAGAGACAGAAAGTAGCATGGTGCGATGGGGCTAAACTGTTTAATGCGTACAGATTTTCAGTCTGGGAAGACGCATTTAGCTCCCACTTATAAGTGAGAATATGTGGTATTTGGTTTTCTGTTCCTGCAAAATTTTGGACATGGCTGGTGGTGATTGTTGCAAAACGATATGAATGTACTTAATGGCAGTCAACTATACACCTAAAATGGTTACAACGGACAATTTTATGCTATGTATGTTTTACATACCTTAAAAAAAAATCAAATATGCTTATTTGGTCCAGACAAATTTTAACAATGCTCTTATTTTCCCTCATGTTCCAGTATTTTGCCACATAGCTAGTGGGAGATCATTACAATACTAAAAGAGAAATCTGCTATGGAGGTTGTGTAATGTGCACCCATGTACTGAAAAATGAACCACAGTGTCTAAAAAGCAAAATCCTGGCCGGGCACAGTGACTCACACCTGTAATCCCAGTGCTTTGGGAGGCCGAGGTGAGCGGATCACCTGAGGTCAGGAGTTCGAGACCAGCCTGGGCAACATGGTGAAACCCTATCTCCACTAAAAATACAAAAATTAGCTTGGCATGTTGGTGGGTGCCTGTAATCCCAGCTACTCAGGAGGCTGAGGCAGGAGAATCGCTTGAACCCAGGAGGCGGAGTTTGCAGTGAGCCGAGATCATGCCATTGCACTCTAGCCTGGGCGATAAGAAGGAAACTTGGTCTCAAAAACGAAAGAAGACTGACTTCATTTTAAAAGTATGATTTTTATCTTTATATATTTTTTCTTTCATTTTTTTCTTGCTGTTTTTTTCTTTTCTTTTTTATTTATTTATTTTTTGGGGGACAGGGTATTGCTCTGTCACCCATGCTGGAGTACAGTGGTGAGATTATGATCACTCCAGCCTTGAGCCCTTGGGCTCAAGCAATTCTCCTGCCTCAGCCTCCCGAGTAGCTGGGACCACAGGCACACACCACCACGCTTGGCTAATTTTTTTATTTCTTTGTAGAGATGGGAGTCTTTGTTGCCCAGGCTGGTCTTCAACTACTAGGCTCAAGTGATCCTCCCACCTTGGCCTCCCAAAGTGCTGGGATCACAGATGTGAGCCACTGTGACTGACCATAATGTTATTTCCTATTGCAAAAGCAAAACCTGGCCATTATAGAAAAATCAGAAAACGCACGCAGACCAAATAAATCCTAGGGGCACACACGGACAAATGGCCACACATACTTTTACCAAAGAAGTGTGGTAGGGTACCATGTCTACCTCTAAAGATGCTGGCCCAATATGTCCATCATCTACAGCCCATTTCCCCCAGATCCATCCTTCCAACCTTCTCTGTGATACTCTATCCCCTTATAGTTGGCCCTTGCATGCTGTATCACCCAGGTCCTTCTGGTTGGGCATCCCAAAGGAGTAGCGACTTCTCAGAAAAAAGTTCAGAAGAAAGAATTCCCAGCAAGAATTTTGGAGTTCCCCCAAAAGCAGATCTTGAAAGAATAATTTGAATGCAAGCAGTTTATTTGGGAAATAATCCCAAGAAAGTGTCGTAGGGAAATGAGGAAGTGAAACAGAAAAGAGAAGAAACCAAACAAATGGTTGTTACCCAGCAACTTACCCTTGTGGGCAACTGGAGTTTAATTTCTGGCGAGATCTTGGAAATAGTGAGGAACATGGACCTGTGAGCTGTCCCATTTGAGAGTGGGGAAGTCCCAGTATTTATCATCACTTCCCATCTGTCATTGGCTGAGGACTTAACCCTGGGATTGTGTACATGATATGTGAGGTCTGAGGAGTTACGGGGCAGCTGGTCGAGGGGACCACCTATTGGGACATGAAGACAAGAGAAAAATAGGGAATGGTCAAGAGGGTCAAAAAGCTACACAATAATGCTGTAAGCAAGTACTGAACTGTGCCCATCAATTTCTCAAAAGGAGTAGCTGGATGGACCATTTCAGTGGAATGACAGGAACTAAAGCCAGAATACTTCAGAGTAAGAAGTAGAGACCATGTGTGGGGACAACTCTTTTTGTTTTTTTAAACGGAGTCTCACTCTGTTACCCAGGCTATAGTGTTGTGGTGTGATCTTGGCTCACTGCAACCTCTGCCTCCCAGGTTCAAGCTATTCTCCTGTCTCAGCCTCCTGAGTAGGTGGCATGTGCCACCAAGCCTAGCTAATTTTTGTGTTTTTAGTACAGACGGGACTTCACCATGTTGGCCAGGCTGGTCTCAGCCTCCCAAAGTGCTAGGATTACAGGCATGAGCCACCATACCCAGCCAGTTCTTCACAATGCTTGATTCTGAAAGGAAGGAGAGAAAGAGGGCTGTAGCCAAAAGGTTGTGAGGTTAGAGCAATGCTTTTCCAGCTGGGATCCTTGACAGATTCTCAATCCATAAGACCTGAGAATTTTAAAAGACACACACACACACACACACACACACACACACACACACAGTGTCCCCTGGATGCCCACTTCTAAGTGAATATTGCTTCCAAGTTTCAGTTCCTCTGTTTATATTTGTGTTTACAATCAAGTTGTAGCTAGGCAGTAATCCTTTAAAGATCATTTTCTTTCTTTCTTTTCCTTCCTTCCTCCCTCCCTCCCTCCCTCCCTCTCTCTCTCTCTTTCTTTCTCTCTTTCTTTCTTTTTTTCTTTCTTCCTTGAGACGGAGTTTCGCTCTTGTTGCCCAGGCTGGAGTGCAATGGCGCAATCTCCGCTCACTGCAACCTCCGCCTCCTGGGTTCAAGTGATTCTCCTGCCCCAGCCTCCTGAGTAGCTGGGATTACAAGCATGGGCCACTATGCCCGGCTAATTTTTTTTGTATTTTTAGTAGAGATGGGG